TGTTGGTGTTTCATTTCATTTATGTATTTGTGCTTTTTTTGTCCTACCTTTTTTTGTTTTGTTAGTTCACTGAATAAATCATCTCTTCCATCATTTTATCTAGTCATTTGTCTTTTTTTTTTCAAAGGTACCTTTTAAATGATAAAAGCTTATGTTTGTAGTGGAAGCCTAAATCTAACTCTGTGTGTAATGATAGTAATTGTTCTATATATTCAGTGTATGTACAAACTTACTAATTGTCATGCATCAGCTGATAGTTTGCAAGTGATTGAAAGGAGAAGAGAGTTCAACAAACATCCAGCAGGTGGCAGTATGAACTGAAAATGGGAATGAGGGAGCGTTCACTGCATAGTTTGGATGTCATGTTATGTGAGGGACAGAGTGGTTCCGGATGTGTTCACAGCATTGATGTTAATTTGGGCCACTGGTGGAATGTAAATACGTATATTCAAGTACTGTTCTTACATACAATTTTGAGGTACTTGTACTTGACTTGAGTATTTTTATTATATGCTTCTTTATACTTCTACACTACGACACCTCAGTGGTAAATATACACTACATTTATTTGACAGCTGTAATTATTTAACAGATTTATGTCTTGTATTTATAATCTGAATCAACTAATTATGATATATTATTGTAGAATAAAGTTGCAATCCTTTAGATTTCAGTCCTGGGAGATTTACAATTTCTATTTGAGTGAAAACAAGAGTTTAGCAGTCTGGAGTCTTGAGCTGAGTCCAAAATTCCATATTAACATGCTATTTTTCAGAATTGTGCATGTATATAAATATATAAATATTCCAATACCGTCATCAGTGGGCGGTAGACTCAATCACCATGTTATTTAACTGAAAATCTTCAAGATTGCCACTTGCTATGTATTTTTGCCACACCATAACCACCTAAAATATTGTGAAGTATATACAGTAATGCATCAATAACTATAATATAATAATACATATTCTGAAATGGACCATTCTGCATAATGAGTACTTTTGAGTCTCTATGTATTCCTGATCCTCTACGACCTCCATAAGTAAACGAGACCATCAGACGGACATTGTCTATTTCTATATAGTTATTTAGTTATTGGAGCCACCGGGTCACATTCTGGTGAAACCAGATGACATCATGCAGGTTCACCAGAAACTCCTTCAGCTCAGACTCCAGCAGAGACCGGTCCACCGAGGACAGACCTAGATCCTCCTGCAAGAGACCGGTCCACCGTGGACGGACCCAGATCCTCCAGCAGAGACCGGTCCACTGAGGACAGACCCAGATCCTCCAGCAGAGACCGGTCCACCGCGGACAGACCCAGATCCTCCAGCAGAGACCGGTCCACCGAGGACAGACCCAGATCAGACTACCTGTTGCCTTCAACCTGCAGTCGGAACTCAGGTGGGAGGAGGGGAGCTCAGCGCTCCGCGGCAGCAAGTCCTCCGGCTGGGAGCAGAGCTTCTCGTCTCTGCTCCGCCGGTCCCTGCTGGGAGCCGTATTGCTGGGCCCACTGTCTATGGAAGGGATGAGGCACAGGAGAACCGGAACCAGCACTGTGCTGAGCAGACTGTCAGGCCCTGCTGCAGTAAAGAAAGATTTTCAAAAGGGATGCAGGCTCGGAAACACAATACAGGGGCCGCCAAAATCAACACAGAATGAAAGTTCCTTGTAGTAGCTTTAAGTATATTTAGATTCTAATACTTTTACTCAAGTAAGATTTGAATGCAAGACTTTTACTGATTTACTGTATTTTTACTCTATGGTAAGTTGTGAGCACTTCTTCCACAACTGATTTGGGCGACCCAGGATCAACTTAACATCTCCAGAAAACCAGCAGGGCCCAGTGTTTACAGCAGGGAGATTAGGGTGTCTGTTTTAAAGCTGTGGTTTGAACGCTCTGAGCCAGGCTAAGGTTAGCTCACGGCTAATTCACCCACGTTCGTGTCCTCATGACAAATCTGGTGAAGTCAAAACTAAAGTAAATGATTAAAACGATATTCGGTTAGAAAGGTAAGAAGTTAGACTTTAGTTTTATACCATTCAATTTAACTGTAGCTGTACTTTATTACCTTGGTCTACTACGCTTTACTTCTATTTGTATAGAAAATCAGATCATTGAAAGAACTGAACAGAGTAACTGATCATTTCTGCCACAAACATTAGTGGCGGCTGGCCAATAGAGGGCCATGGGGCCCGGCCCCACCTTGAGCCACACAAAAAATAAAAAATAAAAATTATAATAATAATAATAATAAATTATACAAATTGTCAATATTTGTGTTTTTGAAATATGGAATCACCCAGTAATATGTGTAAAATATGATATCTGCGCAAAATATATGCTTTTCCTGCTCGTGCTCTCCGCCTGTGTGCACGACACGTCTCAGAACGCGCAGCTGGTGGGGCCAAATCGATTCTGCCCCCCTAGATGCGCGTTCTCATCAGGAGAAGTCTCTACAGGCGAACGCCAGCGCCAGCGCGAGCACTACTCCTCCAAGTCTCGTTTGAGAGGAGAACTTTGGCAGAGATTCTGCAGGCCAAAGAGCTGATATCAGATCAGCCTGACCTCACAATCAGACAGCAGACTAGCGGGAAAGGGAAGCAGTACATGCGAAGCTTCTGTACTAGCTGTACACCAGACAGGTTTGGCTAGCTGGATGACGTCATGCTAATGCATTATTTAGCTTTTTAAAACAACGGGGACAGATCCAGCACGGACAGTTAGGGAGTGAGGGATGAGGAGGTAAGGAAACATGAGAACACCAGGACACACATGGAGAACTCTGTCAAGCTACATCTTAGGCAAAGTGAACATCTTTTCTTCTACATAGTTGTCTTCAGTCTCATCTGCTTAACTTGGTCATGGAGGCATCAACATTTAATTGAGATGGTAAATTATCAGTGAAAACTCATCATAGCTTAATTTAACATCAGTATTCATAATTACACTTCATGTTTACTTCTCCTGATCTTACCTCCTATAACAAGGTCCATAGGGGCATCTCAATAAATAAACATGTTATATTATATTATATATATACTGTGTATATATATAATATATATATATATATGCATGTGTGTGTTTTATATCATACTGAATATTATTATATGATATATATTATTCTGTATATATATACGTATATTATACTGAATTCCCTGTGGAATGACATTAATAAGATGTCCTGACGTGTTTATCAAAGTGTTATTTGTGTTGGAATAAATGTTAAATACTTAACTGCAAAGTAGTAATGTGTGTTTGATACTTTGATAATTTGTTTGCATTAAATCATTCTGGGATGTTTGCTGAAATTGCTTCAAAGCCTGGGTGCAGTATCAGGCATGTTACAGTACGTCTGGTCTGGGGGTGAGGTTCTCCACCAGGGCCCAGAAGGCATTCCCCTCCCTGCAGCACATAGTCTCAACAGCTGGGGCCGTGCGTTGGCTTTTCCCACACAAGCACACCTATCAAACAAAAAGTCAACAAAAGCGACTGATGCTGATACAAGCTGATACTCGTGTATTAGTTTCTGTCATGGGTAAGTATCAATACTTCTGGCAGTACTACACGACCAAATACTAGTTTTGATACAGCCTGATACATGAAAGCAAACTTTTCTATTTTGTGTGAACACAGCATATGCATATGAATATACATGTACAAGCCCTTTAGTGTCAAAACTAGCATTGATCTCCATATTTATTCATGTCATTTATGTGATTACTGAACAAGTAAAGACATGTAGATGGACACAGCAACAGCCAAAGCCAACACTAAACGAAGTAGGTCAAAGAAGAACGGCAAAAAGCAAACTGTGGAATAAAACATGGCTTCAGTCTGATGTCTATGCCAGACTATCGCAGGGAACCTAGAGACACGCTCACATGCACACCTGTGATGAACCCAGAGAGAAGCCACACTGACACAGGGCTGTTTATAGCCTTCATATAGAAAACCTCACAATTTCTACTAGTGTCAAGGCAGACACCATCAACACTTCCTATGGAGATCTCTAAAATGAAATAGATCATGACTCAAAGAGCAGTTCAGATCCCTTTCCTTAATATAAAATATATGTCCATATATATATGTGTGCATTTAAACATATAATATATAATTCACAGGTCCAGCTGATGATAGTGTTACAGGGTTATTGCACAGGGATTGTTGCTGACACTGTGACTCATCCGGGTATGTTCATCAGAGTGACGGTCTGCAGGAAGAACGTGTCCTTGTGTCTGTTGGCGTACGGTGTTCTGGAGCTCCTCTCAGAGGGGACAAGTTGAAACAGGTTGTCTCCACGTTGACAAGGGTCTGCAGTGATGTTTGCTGACTCTGGAGGTGGATAAGTCCTGAATGGAGGCAGACTGGTACCGATGATGTTCTCTGCAGTCCTGACTGTCCTGTTTGCTGGCTGATCCAAACCACACAGTGATGAACGTGTAGAGAACAAACTGGATTATTGCTGTGTAGAAGTGGATCAGCAGCTCTTTATGCAGGTTGAACTTCATGGATCTTTTTTTACATCATGTACATTTGAGCTCCACTATGGCGGTGCGCCTGAACTTCGTTGTAAGAAATGACAATAAAGAAATTCTAATGTTTATATGTATTGATTTTATCCCCACGATGGCGACACAACTGTGCAAGATGCAGTAACAAAACTTTGCAGGCGTGTAGTTGAGATCAAAATGAAGGCAGAGTTCCAAGATGGGTGTGGTCTGGAAGGGTGCTGGAAGTAAGAGGGTAGGAAGTGAGGATTTGATGCTCTTTATTTGGGGTCACGGCTGGTGTGATCCCCTTGCAAGATGGTCTCTAGTTAATATCTGTCTCTCATGAGTCGCCCAATTTATTGGAACCATAGAAGTATAGGACTGCCACGTGCAACACTTCTTATTGTATATAGAGCCAAGGTGTTTGAAGAGGGATCACACGGAGGTCAGGGTGTAAATGAGCTTTGGATATATTTACCAGAATTGATGTAATGTTTCATGAGCTGAATAAACATACACATGTTGCTGTATGTAACTTTATTGAGAAGGCAAGATACAGGGAATGGATATGATATGCCAATTCAACAGCCAGATGTGTATGTGTGTGTGTGTGTGTGTGTGTCACTGGGCCACACAGTCAGTTAAGAAGGGCACTCCCCTTTGCTTTCCATTGTCACATTCGTCTTCTTTTCTCTGTAAGAAAAAACAGTAGACATTACAGCATTGCGGGTTGCTTCATGTGTGTATGTGTATGGGGGTATTATTGTAGCAGTAATACAAGCAGAAACAGGTGTGGGTGTTGTCATGACTTTCATCTAACGGGTGACTGTCAGCTCTTTAGCACTGCAATCAGTGCCACTTCCTGAAACAATGTTCACAGTAAGTAAATGCTGGCTACTATTAATACAATGAACGTGCATGATCCTCATTATTATTATTTGTGTGTGTGTGGGGGGGGGGGTTTGCTGGCATTAGCGTCTTGTCTGTTTCTGTGAACAAATGTATATCGTTCAACATTAGAGGCTGCAGGAAACAGCCATGTTACTAATAACTTATAACTTAACAGCAGCATGCATGTTTAATTACATTTTTAGTCAACAAACTGCACCAGGCTAATCTGGACACAGATGTGTAAGATACAGTTAGATTTCAGCTTGAGGTAGGACGGAAGGATGAGCGCAACAGATGAGTTGAACATGCAAGAGGAATTGTGTAACAGTTAAAGGGATTCTCATGCTTGTGATGATCAAAGCTGCTCATGCTCATTTTTGGGAGAATTCGCCGCAGAGCAAACTGAAACGCAGAGCAACAAGTCACCTGTTTAATTTGACCTGCAAGTGAAGTGTCGTCCTGTTAGAGCAGGGGTCTCAAACTCATCTCCACTCTGGGCCACATCAGCATCACGGTCGCCCTCAAAGGGCCGGTTGTAAATGTAAGACTGTAAATGTAACTACTCCTAACATATTGGTAAATAACTGTCTCTGCATTTGATTATTGTTTATTCAAGTGTAAAAATATTGTACATGCAGTTATTAATGTAAAAATATATTTAAGCACATTTGTTATTATAACTTAGATCCTTTTAATGTAGGGTTAAGAAACCCACATTACTCTATCAAAGATCAAACTATTAAAGAAAATAGCAAAGACAAATATCAAACAAGTTATTACAATAACTTTGTTCAATGCTTAAAATCCTTTCAAGGGTGCGTTTGCACAATCCCACGTGAAGCGTTTCATGTGTTTTAAAGCCACGTTTAAAGTAGTCTTCAATGTACTCACAATACATTTACATTTCAAGTGTACAGTAACCAGCCAAAGAGCTGCTTCTGTGACTGTGTGTTTAAGTATCTCATCATTATGACTTTCTATCTCAGAATTATGACTTTCTATCATCGTTATGACTTTCTATCTCATCATTTCGACTACGGGGATATTTTTATTATCAAGTCTAACTTTTAATTATTGTTATTTATTAATTTATTTTTTTGCTGGCGGATTCGCGGGCCACATAAAATGACGTGGTGGGCCGGATTTGGCCCGTGGGCCTTGAGTTTGAGACCCCTGTGTTAGACCATGGATATATAAAGAAATGGATGCAGGACCAGTCCAGTGGTTGGAAGACAATTTTACATGGCGGAACATGTGATGTCATTCAGCCCCAAAACGTTTTATTCCCCATAGACTTATTTTGTGATAGAGATGTCTGTAAATCAGCTTATATATTTTCTAAGGTAAATCAATTTCCCAATACTAACACTTGAAAAGCCCTAATTTATTCATTAGGTGTGTGTGTTTGTGTGTGTGTGGGTACATGTTACATGCCTGTTGTGCTGGCAGAGAACACATTCGGTGCTGTAGGTTTTTCCATCACTGCCACATACTGGATCAAACTGCTTGGTGCAGAAGTCCCCATACTTGTCACAGTCAGACTGGACACAAACACAGGTAGTTACAGCATTATTGATTAATAACATTTAGGCAATATAAACTTAGATTGTACTCAACAATAATTGAATCATATTCTGAAAAATAACTGCACTTCCTGTCAGTGATTAACAGGCATTTAATGATGATGTGACAAGAGATTCTACAGTATAGATCCAGAACTACAGAAAGCGGTTTCACTCTATGTCTTTGCCTTTGTTTTTTGTAAGGAGAGTGGCCGATTCCCTGTGGAGTCCATAAGTACATGTAGGGCCGTTTCACACCTACCGTACCTAGTTTGGTCCGGACATCCTGACCTTTCAGTTTGATCAAAAACAAAATGACAGGGAAAGTGAAGCCTCCCCCAGGCCAAAACAAACAGAACCAAACAGAAGACACCGGGAGGCCAGTCATGTTATAAGAGTAGCACAGCTCCTTTAAGGAATATCTCAGTCATAAGCCAAGTGTGTGTGTGTGTGGTGACAGCAGACATGTGTCTCTACCTCTGTCGTCACACATGAGGCTTCCCGGGCATCAGGCCCACTGCTTGTAATGGATCTACTTCATCACAATGAAGAGGACAGTGTGCATCACCCGGCACACCGCCATGTGAAACCATCAAATGTAACAAAAATGTGACTCTTGGTTCGGACCTTGGTTTGTACTTGTAAAAAGGCCCTTAGAGATGAGTACATCAATCTTAAACTAAATGGAAGCCAGTGCAGAGACTTCAGAAAGGGGAGTGATGTGTTCAAAATGATCTGTGAGTGGAGCGAGCCATAAACAGAGTACTCCAGGAGTCCAGCCAGCTTGTAATAGCTAGTTGGTCTATTTATTCAGACATTATAATTGAGAGATCGAGGTCTCTTTGGCTATTGATCACTTGCCAGTTTATTAGGTAGACCTAGCTAAAAGCAATGCAGTCCAATGCCACAGTTCTGGTTATGGCTTCAGTAAATACCCTTCAGCATTGTTAAATTCTGCAGCAGCAACAGCAGTAACTCAGAAAATCTAATCTTTTTGAAATCTTTTTTTCTGTAAACGAAGGATGCTCTGATCCAACTTTTTCAGTCTTGATATAGATAGCGATACATGGGTTTTCGGTATCGATCTGACACTGAGTACCGATCTGATACCGAGTACCGATCTGATACCGAGTACCGATCTGATATCGAGTACCGATCTGATATCGAGTACCGATCTGATATTGAGTACCGAACTGATACCAGTGTTTTAAGCACCATTTATTTAACATTCTAAACATTAATATAGCAGCAAACAACTACTATCAATGTAAAGATATAGAGGAGTAATGTCTACCTGAGCAGATGCTGTACAGTACAGCATCTGTACTGTAAACTATCAGTCAATAAACAAATACAGAATTAGATCAACACCCCCAGCAGTCTCACCTGTGTGGGTCCAGTCTGGGCGGTTTGTTTTGGTGATCCAAATGTCGTTGTCACAGGGGCGTCATCCTCCAGGGATAGGACTGCACACACACACACACACACACACACACACACACACACACACACACACACATTAAATTCTATACTTGTGAGAACCCTCAATGACATAACACCTAAACCTAAACTTAACCTAAACCTAATTGACCCTTCACTAAGCCCCGCCCCCTGCTGCGACTCCATCAAGTTGTCAGAGCTCCGTTTCCATGGCGCCCACACTATCACTAACTGCACTGCAATAAATATGATCTAATTTTGGGAGAAACAAAAAAGCGATTCCAAAGAGGAGCAGAGAGAAAGGTCTACAACAATATGTGTTTGAAGGATATAGGATGTCAAAGTGATTCAGCAGAGAAAACAGGTTAAAAAGATTTAAAAGATAGAAGCTAAAGCTACAGATCACAGAATTAAAGGAACACCACTGTTCTTGGAATGCTGGGTAGGTCTTTATTCACTGTTCATATCATAAGAGATCATAAAAAGCAAAGGCAGCATGTGTATACACTCAGTATGAACGTGTTGTAACTCTGTTATGTTGTTCACATGACATCTATCACACTTCTATCCATCCTAGAGGATCCTCCTCTGTTGCTCTCCCACAGGTCTCTTCCTCTTTTCTCCCCATTAAAGCTTTTTTGGGGGAGTTTTTCCTGTTCTGATGTGAGCGTCCTGGGACAGAGGATGTCGTATGTGAACAGATCGTAAAGACCTCTGAGGCAAATTTGTGATTTTGGGCTCTACAAAATAAATTGAAATTGAAATTGAAGTATACCTTCAGTAGATAGCATAGCATAAAAGTGCTAATGCTAATTATTGGTTTTTAGATAGATATGTAACGTTTTACAAACGTTAATATAACTCCCTCCAACCGCTACGGGTAACGAGTATCACTATTACATAACCTTCAACCATGACCACCTCAAAATCCACGAAACCAGCCTGGAAATGAAGGAAATGTGAAATCATTGCGGGAGTCTATGGAGCAGAATGGGATAGTTGTCGGACTCTGGATTTAGCGAAGGATCGATTGTAACCTGATCCTTAAAACCAAGTCCGAACCCTCAAAGAGCCCTTTGAAGAAATGAAGACTGGACAAAATGTCCTCAGTTTGGACAAATGCTCTTATTCCCAATATGCACACGTACATACTGTTCACACTATCTCTCTCTGCATCACGCCTCAAACAAAACAAGTCCATTCTGTGACAATCTAAAAATGTCACCAGCTTTTTCTCCAGAGGAATGTTACCCAGCACAGTCTCACAATCCTTCGTCGTTTTCTTTTGCTGCTCTTTGTGTTTTGCTTCTGTTGTTTGTAGAATGTTGAAACTGAACATGCTACATTTTCTGAGAAAAGAAAGTGTCTCAGGACTAACGTTCAAGCTACAGCATGATAAAGACCTTCATTTCTAATGAAAAGTCTGGTATTGATAGTGTTGACTTCTGTCAGTTCACCTCTTTACTGAAGCTCTGGTCCAAACCCGGCACCCTGACATTATTGTGTCTAACAGTAGGCCTATCTATTAGGCTGCATAATAATGTGGTGATGATGGATGAGGAAGTAGGAACAGGTGTGTGGGACAGTGGGAGGGGCTTAAGTAAAAAGAGGTCAGCATGATGGCCTTAAACCCTGAACCCTCAGGGACTCACTGACGTCACCTGGTGAGTGGTTGACTGTGAGAGGCTGTGAGGGCTTGAGATGGTGTAAATATGAATGAGACAGCAACACATCACGTTACCATGACAACGTCAAAAATGATGATGTACAATTGTGGGTATTTATTTTATTCTTTTTTACTCCCTGACTGTCTTCTCTCCGTTCCGGCTCTACTGTAATAGGAGCAGCAGATGATAGGTTTATTGATTTTGATGACGAATAGAACTGCCTGTAACTGTGTATATACCGGACCAGAGCTAGCTGTATGAAGGGCCTTCTAACGTTCGTAGTAGTGGTTGTAGTAATAGTAGTAATTGCTTGTTTCCTAATCAGTTCTTATTGACAATTTTCCAAAAATAATCTTTTTTTTTTTGGAGAGGTTGAAGTGCCTTCTCATCCGCAGGCCAAATGACTACTTTTACAACCAACAGCAGTTATTTACAGTAGTTTGATGGGATGGTAAATAAAAGATTATTTGTTTTTGTAAATATTGCTCTGCACATTGCCTGTAGGGATGGAATTAAATTGTAGATCTATCGGAAATGTGGTGTCATAGCTAAACTTAATGTTAACCTCAATGTTGATATGGAGCACTGAACAAGAACATTTAAAAATGGTGCTTTGTATAGAAAGGTTGCTGACTTCTTTGACTAGGTTTACAAAATCTGAAACAAAAAGAAAGTTCCAGACGTTTCATACTAAATATGTAACACCCCGTTAGTCCCATGTGTGAGTCTCCTGAGTGTGTCAATCACCTTCCCCTGGTTTTCCCCCTGACAACCCCACACACATATACTCCCATGCTTTCCCTGTTCCGTGTGTTCATCGTCTTCCAGCATTATTCTCTCGTGTTAGTTTCTATGGTTTGTGACTTTGCCTTGTTTTCAGTTTTGGGATTTTTGCCTGCTCCCTGTCGGGTTTGTACGGACTGACTTCCTGTGTATGACTGCTTGGTGCCTAGTAAAAGACCTTGCCTGCTACCTCACCTTGTCTCCTGTTATCTCTGCTCTTAAGTCCCTGCTCTGCCCCAGAACCGTTACAAAATAATAATGTGTTTACCACCTTATTTTAGTTTTTTAATTAGCAAAGTGAACTACATGTTCTTAATTCCTCATGTTAAACATAACTATTCCACTAAATTCATAGCTGCTCTCACTAATGTCAAACAGATGATGTTGTGTCTCTACATTATCGTGCAGTTTCAAGATCAACTAGATTACAAAGTGATCAATTTACAAATGCCATCGCTCTCGTCTGTACGCATGAAAATGTGATTAGTGTTGGTTTTGTATGTTTCCTCAAATCTCCACACAGTAAGTAATAAATGGAACAATGAGAGAATATTACAGGAGGTATATTCAAGATCCAAGTTTGTTTTTACATTATATGTGATGTCATGATTTAGGATCAATTATCAGAAATGTCTTTTTATACACTCTTTCTACTTTGACATTATTTATCATCATTTTTACTTGAGTATTGATTTGCAGATTACCAAATATTATAAACTTTGGTCCGGTGCTTCACCCTCTGTAGACTTTTGTTTGGGTCTTCGTGACTTATTTCTCTATTTTCAATTTCTGTGCACACGGCCCTACAGTGCCATGCCTTCTAACGGGGATTGGCCGGGTGCTTACCTGCTGATTAGGATCAATTAAAGGCACACGGCACTGGGATTCATCATGTTAAGAACACAGGTACAAACTATTCTGCTATTTAAGAACACATTATGAGTGTGACGTAGACTTTTCTTAGGACCTTTCTCCATAATTTAAGAACAAACTTCGGTGAACGAGGCCCAGTTTTATGTGTGTGCCATTTGGTAAGAGGGTTCCAGTTGATTGTTACTGTCATCATCTCCACTGTCAATGAAGATCAAGTCAGATTGTGCTCCTCGGTTTTTCTTAAAACCTGACTTTCGACTGTATATGGTGAGGTCTTGGCCTGTAGCATCATCGGTAAATAAGCATGGCTGCTTAACTTAGTTCATATTAGCCATGGAAGTTAATATCTGAACATAGAGAGGGAGAACAACATGATCCACCACTGCTAAAGTGTTGTCACGCCACCAGTCCAAAACACACTTATCTTTCTTCTTTCTTTTTAGTTGTTTTAATCAAATAAAAACCTTTGGCTCACATATGTTAGTTATGTAATCTGTGATTTGAAATACCACTTTTAGATGATGAAAATGCCCAATATCCGTATTATTTGAATGTTCAGATTATTTGTTTTACATATAAAGATGACAGTCTCTGAACAATACACTGACAGAAAACTCATCTCCACAAATGACTTTGTCCCTTAATGAGTCCTAAAATCTTATCTTCTTAAAAAAGTGTGGTGATATTATTCAATCCTTTTTCAATATGTTTTTTTCCAGATTTTTCTAGACAACAATACCGTGTTCTGCTTTATTCTGTGCACTACGTCTTACGAGAACTACTCCAAGAACGAGTGGAAAATTGCTACTCTTTCAGTTGTTTCTGGTTTAAAGGGTGAAACAATTGTGAAAGTAAAGGAGTCGTAGAGATGATGAGTTTATGCTGTGAATGAACTCACCAGAGACAGAGAGCAGCAGAACAGAAGAGAACAGCACGGTCAGCTTCATGACTTCAGGTTGTGGACGTGTCTCTGAGGGCAGCAGGTGTGTGTTTCACACAGTATGTTTGCCTTTCAAGCACAACCTGTTGAGCTGGCTGTAGCTGTGCTCTGATTGGCTGCATTGTAAAGGCCAGGTGACACAAACCTGATCATTTGTCTCTCGAAATAATGCCATTTGGTCAAAGCAATAACAAACATCCGGTTACAGAAGCAGGCTAAAGTTCATCTGTGACTTTGGAAATAGTTTGAGATAAATAAACTGCAGTTTGACTAATGATTTTGCCAGTATATAGTATATAGTGAGACGCAGTTGAAAGCTCAGGAGAAAGTTAGTAACTAGACTTTAGATTAGTTTAAATACTGAATACAGTATTAACAGTGTAAAGGAACAAACAAATGATGTACTGTATATATTCTATAAGAATGTATTTCCATGTATGTACTGAGATGTTTCAGGATACTGTAGTAACTATAGGCTATTATGATATACTATGTGTAATGCACTACTATGTTCCATAATATGCTACACAACACTGTACAATAATATACTACATTCAATTGTACTGTAACATACTATATTACACTGCACAAAATATCCTATATTACACTGTACTGTAATATAGTATGTTACAGTACAGTGTAATATCGTACTTTAGGCTTCTATACCATGATATACAATACTATACTATACTATATTTAAACATACTACATACTGTACTATAATATACTATATTATACCATACTTAAATACACTGTACTGCAATGCACTATATTATACTGTACTGTAAAATACGATCATAATTTAATGTAACATACTATATCACACTACTTAATATACAATATACTGGACTTTAAAAATGTTATCATAGCGTACTGTATCATACTATACTATACTGTATAACTATGTTATACTGTACTGTATTATACTATACTGTACTGTATAACTATGTTATACTGTACTGTATCATACTATACTATACTGTATAACTATGTTATACCGTACTGTATTATACTATACTGTACTGTAACATATTATATTATACTGTACTATAATATACTATACTATATTATACTGTAATAAACTATACTATACTGTACTATATTAAAATGTACTATAATCAACTATATTATGCTGTACTGTTATAAACCAGAATATACTGTACTGTAAAATACTATATTATCATGTACTGTATTATATTATATCATAGTGTGACTCAGAGGGAGACCGGGTCGTCTTCCAATCAGAAGATTGGTGATCTCCTCCAGTCCATGTCTTATATGGTACCATGTTGAAGGGTCCTTGAGCAAGACTCAGAACCCCAAACTGTCCCGCAGGCTGTGCCATCAGTGTATGAATGGGTGTGAATTGAAATATTTCAGTCCTGATGGTGCATGGTAGCCCCGGCCATCAGTGTATGAATGAGTGTGAATGGGTGAATGATGACATGATGCCAAGCACTTTGAGTGGCCGGAAGACTAGAAAAAAACAGATGCAAGTCCATTTATACGGTACTGGGCAGTGGTGTATAAAGTACTCAAAAGCCATACTTGAGTAAAAGTAAAGATACCTTACTGGAAAACTACTCCAGTAAAAGTAAAAGTCACCTATTAGAATACTACTTGAGTAAAAGTCTTAAAGTATCTGATATTTATTGTACTTAAGTATCAAAAGTAATTTTCTGATATTAAATGTACTTATGTATTGAAAGTAAAAGTACAAGTAAATGCTGTTAATAAAAAAGCAAAGGGTCAGAATTATGAAGTTTATTCTTTTAAGTGCTGTGGCCACCCATGACCAAGGACAAGGAGCTGTGTTGAAAATAATTGGGTTGGCTGTGATCCATCCAGGAGCAACAATGTTCAACATAATATATTGTACATAAGTATACTTTTGCATCTACTATGAACTTATCATCATAATTCTCAGAAAAGCAATATCACTATCAAGGAGTTGTAACAGTGTGTTTATAAGTATGCTCATTCCGACTAGAGGATGTAGAGGGCAAATGCATAATATTGTGTTCAGCAAAAAATATCCACTTGATGCATCAGGTCAGTGTTTTGAGAAAGGACACCTGCCTTATAAACTCCTATGGGCCTGATTTGAACACAATAGGCAAAGGTTTTGCTCAAGCTGAATCTGCAATTGGGCGACTGCTACCATCATAACTCCATCTGATCATCCACAAAATGACTCAAATATCAAAACATGATCAATACTAAAGCAGCACCGAAAGCAACAACCCAGTCATTACTTCAAACTGAAAAATGTCCTGTTCATCTTCAAAAGAAGTTGGTTTTCAAAATTGCGAGAATTCAGTCTCGCTCTTCTTGGGCTGAAGACTAGTCCTGCGATGCTAAATAGCCTTTCACATGCCGCTGAGGCAGGTAGAGGTGTGTTCAGCTTCAGCTTGCGCACAGCTGGGAAGGATTTCCCTAATGCTGCGCTCTCGCGGCTCCTGTCAATCCTATGGTGTGGTGGCTAGCTAACGTTAAGTTAGCTAACGTTAGCCAACTAGTGCTGCAATGATTATAGCTAAGATGACTCAAATCAACAAAATCTCACAACTGTCAACACTTCCTCAGCTCACTAACTCGCTAGCGATCCACGGGTGTTGGTCTTCGTCACCACCGTAGTTTGTTGCGGGAGTAGCAGGTGCTTCCATTTCTGCTTCGGTCATGAAATCAGTCATCGTAGAGTGGAATTCTACTTATGTAGGATCGCTAGCTAGCATCCTGGGCATCACTGGGAATCAAAACGCCGCGGCTTTGAGAGCACTTGTTTGCAATTGCGCATTAACGTGATTAACCAATGATTTAACTTGCAAGCTAGGACCACTGATTCGCCAAACCTGCTTGCTTGCAGTCTCTGTTCCACCACAGTCCCCGACGTTGGTCTCATGATTCATTTTTCTAAAGATAGATTTGATTTTGTAGCGAGTAACGAAGGTTTCAGGGGAAATATATCGGAGTAAAAGTATCAGTTTTCTTTGCTAAATGTAGTGAAGTAAAAGTAAAAGTCAACAGAAATATAAGTAGTAAAGTAAAGTACAGATATCCAAAAAACGACTTAAGTACAGTAACAAAGTATTTCTACTTCGTTACTATACACCACTGGTACTGGGATATACTATTTTATACTGTTATATATGCTATATTATACTGTAAAATATGATATCATCATTTACTACAATATACTGTATTATACTGTACTATAATATATATTATACTGTATTATAATAGATTATATTATACAGTATAATTGCTATTTAATCAATTTGAACAGATAATATATACTCTGTAAATATTAATGTTTATAATTTAAAAATATATACATTTTAACAAACCTTTTCACTTCTATCTGAATACATTGTACACAAGTTATTTTCTTAAATTTGTTCTTGAGAAAGTTTTCCGATCAAAGTCTACGTTAGATACATGACGTGTTCTAAAAGCACAAAACTTGTTGTTCCTGCTCTACACGATGAATCCCAGTGTCCTCGTACGTGTCAGCTGATCCTAATCAGCAGGGAAACGCCCAGCCAATCCCCTTAAAAGGGCATGGCACTGTAGGGCCGTGTGCACACACGGAAATCAAAGAGAGAATCAAATCAAGAATGCCCCAACAAAAGTCTAAAGAGCGCGAAGCATCGCACCAAGATTTATAATATTTGAAGTAAAAATTATGATAAATGATGTTGGAATAGAAAAATTGTATGAAATTAAATTTCTGGGCAAGATAATTGATCATAAATGATGTTGGAAAGCACACATTAATAATGTAAAAACAAAAATGTCTTCAATCAATAGTTAACTGATCAGGTTATTATGAACAACCAAGACTATAGGGACTAACTCCAGCAGCACTCGGCTGGGTGCGGAGAAGATCATGTTTCTTAATCGCTTCAATCACTCTTTCATTTTTGGGTGAGGTTCCCAATATAAACAGACATAAATACACAGACATAACCAATGGCTCCGAAAAATACACCATTTATTAATTCACATGCTTTGAAATGTTGTAATCTAGTTGATCTTAAAGCCGCTCAGATCATTTAAAGCACAGCATCATCTGCTTCCTCGCTGTATTCAGATGTTGTTTGAGAGACAACATGAATTTAGTGGAATAGGACAATACTATATAAGTATAGTTTTACTAATCTAAAACAATGTTGTAAACACAAACAAAGCTGAGGTTTCACTTTTTGTAAACCTTGTAGTGAAAGTGACCTATTAGCAGGTTCTACACGTGAATGCACAACCTGACTACAGAGATCACTTCAGTAGTGGATATAGTAGCTATACTGAATGTAGTGTTCATGTAACCTTTATTCCTTTTAAAAGACCATGTTGCTCTGTAAAATAATAAAACATAATTCTCAAACAATATTTAAAGAAATATAAAACTATTGCAATGGTATTGATGATTATTGTCATTTTAATCCTGTGTTCTAAAACTATAGAACTGAGAAAAACACAATATCCAATTACTTTGCACAAACATGTCAGCACTCACATGTGTGTAGGTGAGCTCTTGAGTGTGTGTACATTCTGCTGTTACCTAGCAACAGATCCTAAAGAAGAAAACATCGGTGAATGAAAACTGCCTATTTAAGACATTTCTATTTAAGAACGGTTGGTGGTTGAGGCCCAATGTCTATTTTCTTTAACATTTTTCAGAATTTGATGATGAAATATTCTAACGATCTTTTTATCCCTGATGTTACTGTATTATTGTCCAATACACTGTCTGTTGTATTATACTTTATTATACGACATTGTAATGTACTGAACAATATACTATCCCTTATATGGCCTCATTGCTTTGTGTTTTCTTTGGATATTTATATGTTTGTGATTAACAATGTTTTTTCAACCCTTATTTATTGTGTATTTCTTAATCAGGGTGCTTATCAATGCACTTTCAGGGCTGGAAAGTTGTATTGAATTGAACTGAATTAAACGTATAACACTATTACATTTCTGAATGACTGTAGTTTATTTCCCCTCCCCGTTACATGTAGTGTGTGTGGTGGAAAGACGACCAGCAGTAGGTGGTGCCAGTGGACTGGGTAACACTGAGCTGTGCAGTACAGAGGGGTTGACACTGGAGAGAAGTCCTAGTCTGTATGAGAACACTTGGTAGTGTGACAGGGTAATGTCATTTTTTAGAAGAAGTGAACATCAGTGACATCATCTTACTGGCGTGAACACATGGAAGCCTCCTAGAACGAAATCCAGATAATGTTCATTTAAGTGACCATACCCTTATTTGGTAAAATATACTTCCCAAAAATTAAACAAAACCAACCAAAAAAAGCCCTGCAACAAAACAGCAAAATATGTGCACTGTTCCAGCAGTAGTTATGTAACCTTTTATTGAAACAACTTCCTTTCTAATATTTGTTGGAAAACATGTTATAGTGAATAACCCACAATTGATTTTATCAACACAATGTTATCCTTCCTGTGACTACTGTATATTATATATGGGTTTTTTCTGGGGTAAGAAGTGTGTGTTGGTGTCTGATAAACCTTCAAACTCGGGATCTAACGCTCAAACAGGACTTACCTTATTTGATTGTCTCACCTGTACCTGAAGCAGCATGCCCACACCGACATGGTCCCCACCCTTATGCTGCGTTCAAGCGACGCCGTCAGAATGGGAAGAAGATAAACGATTTGGAAATGATGAAATAATCTATACTAGCTTTTGTTGTGTTACATATAAGAGCAGTTCGTTAACAAGTCAAACTAGACAAAACCGCGTGATTTTTGTACAAGCTTAATTCAGTGGAGGCTAGTGTCACCATTAAGGTTGTATTTACACTGTGGCTTTGCAACCGTTTTGCTACTGGTTTGCTGAAACCTGTCGTTTACACAAATGGTAGTAGGCTAATTGTTAAAACAATTCCCGATATCTTCAACTGGGCAAATGATCGGGTCATGCTGTGATTGTGTGAATAAAACAAAGCAGCGGATGTTGAGATGTATATTCTGATGGGTTCACTTTAAAGAGAAAATGATCATATAAGCTACTTGAGACAACGCGTAAGAAAGGAGAAAACTATACAAGTGTAAGAAAATTCAGCACAATGTGGCTGAAAAAGGTTGAAAATGTACTGATTGTGCTGAGACACCACGATGCTTCTAACGTCAGTCGTAAATACCACCTGTGGGTGCATTCAAGGAGGCTGGGGTCGGACTTGACATACAAAATTGACACGTACATAATTAGAGGGTCTCCAGCTGCTTTCATGGTCGCTTCGTTTGAATTTGACAATACAACATCAGGCAAAAAAAACACTGGGCACAAAAGTACACACAAAAAGTAAAGGCAAAATACACACAATTGATTATTTACCATACATTAACATTGTATTGACAATAAAATGGTTACATAACAAATCTCTTTTTAACTTTTCAGTTGTTGACTAAGGGGTATCATAGACAATAGCTTCCCTTTATCGGTCACAACTAAATATCACTTTGAGGCGCTCACATACAGCCATATACACGCCTATTTCGTGAGTCTCTATGTAATATTTCCGATCGCACCTAAAGGGGTCATGAGATATCTAACCTTAGCTAATCGCCTCCAACGGAAACCAGCTGAGAGAAAGGGTAGAGAAGACAAGATGGCGGAGTGAGTGGGTTGCGCTTTCTACAGACGGTTGCGACCCTTGAAGTTTGCTGAAAACGCCCTTAAAGGACTGAAACCATTAAAAAAAAGCAACATTGCCATCGGACGTGTAATTAGAAGGGCTGTTTTTTTGCTACTCAGCACGGAGGAGGTCCGGACATTTTTCCGCGGCAGTCCTTGCTACAGCGTTAGCTTGATGCTAACGCTAGCCAACGTTAGTTTTCACTAGCTGCTACTACGAGCTAGCTGGTTGGTTGTTGAAGGCCGTAAGCTTTTTGGCGTTTAGTTTGGATGTATATACTTCGATACTGACACGGCATTCAGTGTTTCTCGGAGGAGGTTTTATTCGAACGAAGATCTGTTGTAGCCGGTAGCCTATGAATAAAGCGAACAAATTCGGGAGAAATCCACTTCCCAACTTGCTTGGTACGTTAATAGTCGAAAAAGATCTTTGGAGTAACGTTTACAGCTAGTCCATACTTTCCCTCATCAACGACTATCGCACACACAGGACTCTGTATGTTCTGCTGACAATCGGCTACACGGCCACAGAGTTTTCTAAAGGTAATCGGGTGAAGATCGTCATTTGGTGGATATTATGGCGAGCAGCAGTGGCTCCAAGGCCGAATTCATAGTCGGTGGAAAATACAAGCTGGTCAGAAAAATTGGATCAGGATCTTTCGGTGACATATATCTGGCCATCAACATCACAAATGGAGAGGTAATTCACTGCTTCAACGTCTAACAGCATCGGTATTGTCGGTAAATCGGTTGTGAGTTTTCCTTGTGAACACAACCGTGACTGAGTCAAACGTATTAGTCAACTTGACACATAGCTTTGCGAGTTAGCCGGTAACTTGTAGTTATTGAACTGTAAAATGTATTCAGTAAAAGATGCTTCACGATAATGAATTGACTTTATTCATTGTAAAGCGTTTGTCTTTGCTGTAACTAATGCAGAGTATGAAATATGAATGTTATCTTTTGTCATTTTCAGGAGGTAGCTGTAAAGTTGGAATCGCAGAAAGCCAGACATCCACAGCTGTTATACGAAAGCAAGCTGTACAAAATTCTCCAAGGTGGTGTCGGGATTCCACACATCAGGTAAGGGGAACAGTCATTACCTTACAGCTTACTGACTTTCGTCACGGACAATAAAGGACACTGTATTTATTGTTAATATGTCTTCGTTTGGCTACATTATTGTGGCAAAGTGTACGGTGAAAAAGGACAACTGACGATAACGTTAGAGAGGCTGGTCGGCATTAGGCCTGCTAATCTGCCTAACGTTACTTAGTCTGTTCTAGGAACGATGTGTTTTCCGTGGTCGCTTAAAAAGCCCGTCGGCTGTACATTGCACACGGTGCTTTGTATCAGTCGTGTTTAGAGCCCACCCGTGCCCTTTTATCATGAATAACGGTGGTTAGTGTTGAGGAAAACCAACTGTGTGGTTGGAAATGGCCGCTCCTCTTTTGTTGTGTTAGCTCCCAACATGTCTTCCCTTACTCTGTTAGAAAATGGCGGCGGAGCACAGAAGCGAAAACAACAACCTAAGAGCCCCGGTAGAAGTGTGTTTTCACCGCGTGATTTCAGCCCTAAACGTCGCTCCCTGTAACGGGTCACTCGCTATGTTTAGTTGTGTTGAATTAGCTGTTTACATTGGGATGTAACGTTAGCTGAACAGAGCATGTGGTGACGTTTTAGAGACACACGCTGTGTCCCATAGTTCACACCGTTACTACAACTGTAAAGTATACACTATGCAGTAATGCTCACATGGCTGTTTCACTTTCATGTTCATATGATGAATGGGCATGTGAATTTGACTCGTTATTGCTGAGCAGTTGCTGACACGTAGGAGCCTGAGCTATTTATTTGTTAGTATATTGGATTAAAGGAGAAGTTTGTGTGTGTGCGGCTATTGAGGGAGAGATTAATTCTGGCCACTGCATGTACAAAAGTGGAAGTACAGCGAGTACATGAATATGGTGCTGTGCACACCTCAACATAAATAGTATACTAGAAGTCATTTCTCCAGGATGAAACAAAGAAAATAACTTATTTATTCTGGGGTTGTTTGGTATACTAATGTTTAGTTTGAGTGAGATACATCAAGCGCTTAAGTGACACTGTGTTTACCTCTGAATGATATTGTTCTTTTTATTCAGTTAACCAGTCCCAATGAAATAAACTCAGTCCTTTTTACTCCATTTTTTTTTAATGTTTTCTACCACAAAGTTAAAGTGAAACTGAATATGGCATTCGTTACGGTTTTGTATTCAGGTGACAGGAGAAGCGTGCTATCATTCAAACAATGGAGCAGGTTTGCTCAGCTTTATTCAGTACTATGCCTCAGTTTGAGTGTGATTGGTCACCTCACATACTCATTTGGCAGATTCTGGAGAATCCGTTGCATATATCTATTTGTACCCTTTTCTATCTTTAGCACAACTTAAGGGAAAGTCCATTGGACATATATCATTAATATTGGTGCATACTTTTAAAAAGGGAAATGGGTCATGCTGGTTCCCATTGCTCTTCTTGTGTTGATGAGGAAATGTTAATGCTTTTGTGTCAACTAAAGTATCCCAACCCTTATCTGTTCTATTTTGAACATAGTTAGTTTGAAATATAGAAACTCTACCATAGGCTTTGCAGTCTCCCCTGTGTACTTAAAGTAAACCCCCAATCAAAACACAACTTTTACAATTGGTGTTGTGTAAAAATCTTCTGCAACAGTAGAGAACAGTAAATCTCTCTTAATTGACTGCTGTAGGGTTGTAATGAAGCTCGTGCACATCATGGCCTGATTTACTTTTTAAAGAAACACTTGTCTTGCTTGCCTGAATCAATCTGAGGGACGGTGTGAGTTGTTTGTATGTTAATAGTCAAACTCACTTGAATTTAGTTTGGGGGAATCAGGAGAAAGTACCTGCTGTGTTACAGCTGATAGGTTTGAACACCAACCTGTTCTTACCTGTGACAAACTGTAGTTGCCCAGGGAAAATACTTTTGAATTGATATACTATTGTGCCTTTTGTGTTTTAATCACCACATTTACAATACACGGCTCCTATAAACATTACTGTTTCACTGCTTCCGACTTAATTTTGATAGCGTTTGAATTACGGAAGATTTTTGATGTTTAATACTAAGACAGTGTTGAAGGGGAGTAAAGTGTGCACATTTTGATTGTTTTGTGATGAAAAGTCAGTAATATCAATGATCAAACGTGGATGATTAGACATGTACTAAACACAACATGCATGTTCTTCTTAAATGAATAAAAGCTCTTTTTAAGCAGTAACTAATGGCTGCCATGCAACTTGACAAAGTTTGAGTGAGCAGTTACGCAAATGAGAATGGACGGTGTGGTGCTTTGCTGTCTCGTTTTACAGAGATTCCGTAACACTGCTGTAAAGAAGATCCGCCATGCACTGCCTTTCCTCTTCTACACTGACTCAAGCAATGCTGGCATGCTGCCCCAGGGTGTGAATATTTATTTTTTTAGATGGCATGTTGGTGTTTTGGCTGCAATAGAGGTTTATACGAGTAACAAAACAATGTCTGCATCTAGTGTGGACCCGCTGTGCCACCAGTCGTCTTAGGACATAGAGAACAACCATGTGCCCCATTCTGTCCTGCACCATATAGCAGCCAAAACACCAACAA